GCCGCAAACTGTCTGTCGGGGGCTGGCCGTTCTCGACGGAGGCCGGGCAGGGTCGCAATGAGAGTCACCGGCCCTGAGCTGGGGGCAGGAAGGTTTGTAGCTCAAGTCCTCGGAATATCAGCACAGAGGCCCCAGGAACGTAAGGGCCAGACCCTGCCCCCACCCCAAAGTGTGACTGGGCTTTGGCACCAGGGTGACGGCCGCTGCCTGTGGTGGGCTGGGCGGGGGATGGTGCTGGGTTTGCTGCAGCTGCCTTGCAGGGTAAAGGACACTCCCCTCCTGGGAGGCAGGGACTATGGGGCAGGCTGAGGGGATCCCAGCAGGAGCTCCGATTTCCCTCTCTGGGCTCCCTGTTCCTAACCCGTCTCTATCTACACCCACAATAGGCACCACCCCCTAAAACGTCGTTCTCATTGGTTGGAGGCCCCCGCGAAAGGTGCGCTCTGTGGTCTGGTTGGCGCTGGCGCAGGCCGGTTCACCCCCTTGGTCCTCGCTGGTCAGAGGCCCCCGAGGAACGTGTGGGACCCCGAATGCCCTAGGGGGGCAGGCGCTCTGTGGTCTGGTTGGCGCTGGCGCAGGCCGGTTCCCTGAGGGGAGGCCCGTGCTGGACACACATGCACCTCGCACCATTTTAATGTTTTAAAATGAATCTTCTAGAGGATATTTTTCAATATGGCCAGGTGGTTCCTCCTTCCCCAGTGCATGAGGATGGGCGGGGGATTTTCTCTGCTTGCTTCCCTCTGCATTTCTTAGCCCCAGGCCCTAAAATAGCGACACGGAAATCGTGTTAGTCCTCAGCCTACGCACCTGGTGTGCCAGCCCTAGTCACTGAGAGCCCCACCCCAATCCAGCTTTTGTATCTCACAGGTGGCAGCCAACGGACTCCTGGCATAGGGGTAGCAGGGCATTGAGGGCACAGAGGGGAGAGGAGATGGGGTCAGAGCCCCCAGCCCGGGTGGAAGGGGAGAGAGGGCATAAAGCCCTCAGCCTGGAGGAGGGGAGATGGGAGCACAGAGCCACTGGACTGAGGGGAGGGGAAACAGGACTGCTCCTGCCATGAGGGGAACTGAGGCGGCGGGTGCCACTCGGCCGCAGAGTGCAGAAACGTGTCTGCTGCTGGTGCGTATGTAGGCAGCAGCGCAGCCCCGTGAGAGGAGAACAGGAAGGAGGCAGAATTGAGCCTTTCAAAGTTTTGGCCCAAGCGAGGGGGTCTGGCATTTGAGCTCCCCGCCTCCGGTGCCAAAATATTGTGGGCCAGCCCTGAGGGGAATTGGGAAGGAATGGGGGGGGG